GACGGGCCTTATCTGTAGTTTCTGAAACAAAAGCTTAACATATACATTACTTGCTAGACTTACAGCTTTTCACCTTAAACTAAAATTTTCCAAGTCTTGAGTCCCCTATCCATCTCTCCTATGGTGTCTCTAATTCTGTCTCCACAGATCTCTTTTTATTCCTTTACCGTCCAGGTGGGGTGGGGGAGTTGACCTTGGTACTTCTGCAGCAAAATATTTAGGGGAAACACACTCTCTGGAGTCAGGGAAGGAAATTCCCCGCCTCAGCTACTCAATAACGTATGGCACTGGGAAAGCTACCCCACCTGTGATTTTGCCGTGGGATTTCAGCATGTCGATCCCGAGGCAGGTGGACTCCTAGGACAAGAGTGACGGTGCAGGTGGGACAAAGGAAGGATCCTAAGGTGGGGAGACTATCCTGGATTATCGGGGTAGGCCCTGAATGCCATCACGACTGTCCCCAAAAGGGAGGCGGAGGAGGTCGGACCGCAGAAGAGGAGAAGGCAGTGAGACCACAGCGGCAGCCTGGAATGAGGTGGCCATGAGCCAAGGAATGCAGGTAGCCACCAGAAGCCAGGGGGAAAAAAATCCCCAAAACAACGAAGGAATTCTCCCTTCAGACGGCTAGAAGAAGTCAGCCCTGCCCGCACCTTGATTTTAGCTCCAGAGAGCTCAGGACTTGTGGCTGGCAGCACTGTCCAGAGAGCAGATTTGGGTGTTGAGTCACGGAGTCACTGGTGATTTGTTACAATAGGAAACCAGCAGCACCCTCGGGCGGTGGTGTGTCTGAGACAGTCAGCGATTCCGGGGTAGTCCCCGAGAGGGACCGACGGAGCGTCCTGGTACCGGGTGTTCGAGCATGGCTGCTTGTGAGGCCCAGTTCCCTTTTCCCGGTCTAATTACTTCTCCCTTTAATTGGTGACTCTTCATGTGAAATGCCTTATCTGCCCTTGCTATTCCGAGACCCAGCAAACCCTTCTTCGAAGAGGCGAGGGGTGGCTACCTGCGTTCCTCGGCTCGTGGCCACCTCGTTCCGGGCTGCCTCTGTGGTCTCACTGCCTTCTCCTCTTCTGCGGTCCGACCTCCTCCGCCTCCCTTTGGGGACAGTCGTGATGGCACTCAGGGCCTGCCCTGATACTCCAGGATAATCTCCCCACCTTAGGATCCTTCATTTGCCCCACCTCTTTTAGGATGAGTGCCTCATCTTTTTAGGGTCAGTGCCTGCTCTCCCAACCTCATTCTGACTTCTCCCGTGTGCGAACCCAACTCTGTTAGCTGCTGCATGCGGGGCGCCCTGCTCTGGTGGGGCTCACCTTCCGGGGCACAGCGGTGCTTTGTGCGGGTTTAGGGTGCAGAGAAGGGACCTGGGATAAATCGGAGGTGGTAGCGGTGGTGTGTGTGGGGGGAGTGGGGGGACAATCAAAGCCCTTGAAAAAAGGATGGGGCTCGGGGAGAGTTTTAAAGTCACAAGAGTTCCTAGAGGTGCTAAGTGAGCAAACAAGGCATCTGGGGGACCTGTGTCCGCAGATTTCAGTGTGTGGACACCTCCACTTTTTCTGAGAAAAGGGTCATCCATAGTTTAAGGACTACTCTGAGGAAAGCTGCCTTCTCCCAGGGATTAAGGAATCATCTCCGTCGAGCCTCTCCGTGGGGGCAGGAGTGAGGCCAGACAGCACGCGCTGCTTTGAGGCTGGCGTAGGGAAGCAGGGGCCCTAAGCTGGTGGCGACATGAGTGTTAAAAGCGCTCAGACCCTTCGTACCAGTAATTCCATTTCTAGACACTCTCTGTAGGATAACGAGACGCGAGCAATTCTACACGCAAACACTCACTGCGCTATTTATAATAGTTGTATCAAACGGAGGACTCGTCGACACAGTGCATTTATACGATAGAGATTTATATCCCCATTAAACGCTTACGAAGTTTCCTGGTACGGTGAATTGTACATATCGAGCCTGCACGATACAAAATGACTACAGATGTAGCCTCCCCAAAGTGACGGTGTATCAGATGACCAAAATGAAAGGAGTTGATGGCGAGAGCCACTAATACATTGGTTTTACTGAATAGCAGAATTTGGGAGACCAAGTTGCAAAAATGCATTTTTGTGTTTGTTTCCTACAGGTAACATTGTTACGAAAAACCTCCTCCACATCTGGGTTGCTGGTGCTCTCGATGGAACTGTAGAACATGAGCTGTCAAAAAAAAAATTTCCCCTTGCTTTCGCCGAGCCAGAGCGAAGGCCCGTTCCCTCAGCCTGCATAGTGGTGCACTTGCCTCGGCAGTGCGTGCGTGCGTGCCCCCGTGTGCACCCGGGGCAGGGCCGTTGTGTTCACCGAGAGCAAGGGCAAGCCTGCATGACCGAGACCGTGTCTTAGTCAAGACTACAGCCCGTTGCTTGGCATGTAGCGGGATGGATCGACTGAATGCATTCTAACCTCCCAACATTTTCTTTTTTTAAAAACACAGATTAGGGGGATTGCTGCAGCTGCTGCCTACTTTACGAGCTAAGACTGCAGGCTCGTGCAGAGTGTATTATCTACTTAGATCAACCTAATAGGTTGGCCTCCTTCTTCCGCACAAGGGTACTCACATTTACATCCCAGAAGATGAATACCTAATTGGAAAAATGTGCTCCACAGGGGGGTTTGAAGCTTCGTTAAAAAAGACAAAAAGCAAGCCCTGGCTGGTGTGGCTCAGTGGATTGAGCCTGAGAACCAAAGGGTCACTGGTTCGATTCCCAGTCAGGACACAGGCCTGAATTGCGGGCCAGGTCCCCGGGTGGGGGCGTGTGAGAGGCAACCACACACTGATGTTTCTTTCCCTCCCTTCCCCTCTCTCTAAATAGACAAATAAAGTCTTTAAAAAACACAACAAAGGACTCTTCTAAAAGGCAATATATTATTCTTTTATTACCTTACACCTAATACAAGGTTTCCCTGGCACCAGTCAGAAGGAACGTAGAAATGGCGTGGAGGAGGGCACTATGGTGCAGACTTTGTAAACTTTCCGTGGACAAATTCTTTCCCCTGCCTGCTTTGCACCCACTTACTCATCCCTGGAGGCAGCACGGCCCATGGTTAGCCCAACGCCCTTCTGTCCTGGATGGTCTTTCTCCGACCTTGGCTTCTACCAGAAAGGCGGAAGCCGGGGCCTCCTGGGCGGTTCTTCCCCTGCAGAAACTGACCGGCCTCTGCAGAGTTGGGCCGGACAGTGGTCAGGACCTCACTGGTCCTGCAAACGAGGGGCCAGAGTGTCACGTTGTCCACTCAAGCCCTTTATTTGCAATATGCTTATTCGTGAAGAGAAGGCAAACAGACAGGCAACAACACAAGGTTTCTTGTCTATTTGAGTGATTTTTGCCAGCAAGTTTGAGAGGCTTTCCACATCTGCAGTTACTACGTTCAGCCGACTGTGCTGTAGGTTTATGGGAGTTCACTGCCTCCGGATCCAGGTCAAAATCTCTTCTACATCTCAGAATGTTAAGGCGAATTATAACTGGATCTATTGACAATGCATTCGAGTCTAGTTAGCTCTCCCACAGGCAAACACTCATTGAAATTTTTTAGAAGGATAATTTCTTATATATACACACGCCTTGTCTGTAAAGGGGATCACCAGAGTCAGGCCCTGTAGCAAGTGCCTTTGAAAAACCCTCTGGCTGCAGGAATTCTCATTTTTTCACCAGGAGAGATGGGATACCCCAAATCTCAAGGCTCCCCACCTGGAGCTCCCTGGAAGTGGACACACTACCTCCTCCCGAGTTATCTACATATTTACAGTGAATTCCACTGTTACCCAATAGAATTGTTTTCATGGCGCAGCTAAGCATATTGTATGGAAATTCACTCAGGATGGAAAGAAGGAAGGTGCTAAGTTGGGAGAAAGTAAAAATCCAACCTCTAAAACAACTTTTATACAGTTAGGTAGTCACTTCAGCAAGATTTCAGTGGAAGTTTTCCTCTAGAGACGGTACTGAGTGGAAGTCCTAATTGCTAACACGGGAGCTATCCCTCATCCTCAGCCTCTGGGGGCACCTCAGCCACCTGAGCCTGACTGCACAGGTATTCCGAATCTGGAACCGTGCTTGTGGAATTTGGTCGTTCACAGCCTGAATCTTAGGGGGAAAAAATTGAGCCTGCAGTGTTCTTATCCAGCTCCCTTCCCCCAAGCTTAATGCAACAGTGAAATCTCAATGCCAACCAATTTGCGCGCTATTTCCCAGGAAATGTACAAGTCTCCTGGGCACCTACTTATAATAATTTTACTTATAGTACTATCCAGAGAGCGTCTTATTCTGCTGCTCATCTTCAGAGGCGAGGGGTCTGTGTTCGGCGTCATTAAGTGGACAAGGCAGAGAGGTCGCTGAGCTTTCCTCCCCAGTGTCAGAGGTCTACAACGGACTCCGCCAACCCTCCCATTGCCGCGCTGGAGAGCGAAAGCTCCGGGGCGAGCTGATGCGAGGGAGCGTCCGCGCACCCCCAGGACGTTAGGCTGCGCTGCTGCTCGCCCGGGCAGCTCCCCTCCGTGGAGGGCGGGGGGCCTTCCCGGGCCGCCGATCCCCGCGGGCCGTCCGAGTCCCGGAGCCTGCAGGAGTCGCTGGGGAGCGAGGCTGCGAGGGTCGGCGGCCGCCGCTCCTCCCGCGCTGGGCTCCGGCTCGCGGCTGGGGTGAAAGCGGACACCGCCGCCGTCCGCCCTGGCGCCCACTTCTGGCCGCTGCACCCAATGAGGAAGCCATGGAAGCACACGGCTCCGGAGACCGCACGGCCGACTTTCCGCCCCTCCCGCCCGCTCTTCCGCCTGCGCCGCCCCAGCTCCCGCCCCCGCGCCCCGCCCTCTCCCGGGAAACCAGGACCCGACAGCTCCCGCGCTTCCCCGCCGCCCGCCGCGGCCGCCTGCTTTTTATAGGCGCCGCAGCCAATCAGCGCGCCGCTCTCGCGCGGCCCGCCCCCCGGCCAATCGCCGCGCCCGGGCGCCGCCGTCGGCTGCTCGGCGGCGCTCGGCTGTTTTCGTGGTGCCTGGCTTTGCAGGGGCTGCTCGCTCGCAGCCCGGGACGCCGCTTTTTTTCCGGGTTCGGGGACGTTCCGGATGCTTTAGGTGCCGGATGACTGGTCTCCGGATACCTGAGGCGTTTCTGTACATGGATTATCTGGTAGGTGTGGGGGCGCGGCGGCGAGTCGCCCGGCGGACCCGGCGCGCCCAGGGTCCCCCGGCTGGGGACGGTCCTCCGGCTCTGTCCCCGGGACGGGATGCCCGGGCCCCCTGATCCCGCTCCGGCCCTGGAGCCGCGCGGGGCTCGGGCTCCGGGGGCGGGGGGCGGAGTGACAGGTGAGGCTGGCCGGGCGGGGGCGCTCCTCGCCGAGCCCTCTGCCCCCGGGGCGCGGGAGCCCTCGGCGCCCCCTTTAGCAGGGCTCCAGGTACCATTAAACAGCCATATCCTGAATGGCTCGCTAAGTGCCCGGCAGCCCGCTCATTTGGCTGTTATTAGCTCTCTAAAGCGGTGACCTCGGTCGCGGGGAGGTTTTAAAAGCACATTACCCGAAAGTCGACAGAGCTGCCTGCCTGCCTGCCTGCCTGCAGCCCCGGCCGGCCGGGGCTGGCAGGGGCCGGCGCGTCCCCACCTCCCCGCCCGCGGGCGCTCTCACCTGCGCGCCGGTGGGTCCCGGCCGAGCGCTTAGGCCGGGCTGGCGCCGAGAAGTTCAGGTGGGAGGAGGGTCAGCCCCGTGCTGGGGCTGAACCGAGTTTAAAAATGGACGTGTGTGCGCGAGCGCGTTTGTGGAATTAGGCAGCACCTCGTATTGTTCCAGAAATTAGATTTCCTGCGGGCTGCGTGTTTGTGCACTGATTGACGGGGGCTGTGTTCGGTCCTGTAGCTAAAACCACCAGGGTTGTTGCCTTGTGACCCGAACCGCTCTTGCAATGCCGAGTTCGAGACCAGGGTGCGCCACATTGACCTTCTTGTCATCGGGTTGGACACATGCAGGCGCTTTTCCATGTGGACTGGCCTGGCCAAGACCTGCCAGTGCCTTCTAGGAAATGCATTTACTGCCGTACTGAGCGAGACCGTGCTGCTCCACCACCGAGAAACGCTGGCCGAGGGCGGACCTGAACTGTTACTCTGTGCACTCTTTGGGCGTGCGGTACTTGAGCGAGGCAGACAGATGTTTCCCCCTGAAGCTTCAAGGTTTGAGGAGCTGTGGCCAAGCCGGCGGGTAACGGAGCAGAGTGAAAGGTTCTGGGTTCGAGTGCTGTTTTGTTGTTCGTTTGCGGATGTCAGTCACTTCCTCTATCTTTGTGATAAAGGGGCTTTGTCTACTTCTGGAGCCAGTTAGGGGATTATCCGTGTTTTAAAAGGCAAAGTGCCATGTGGGTTAAGAGAGTTGCCAAATATTTTTCAAATACTATTTTTTAAATTAAATAACTGGTTATTTTGTAGCTCGTCTTGTAAAATATAGTACTATAGGTTTTCTTGCAGTCGCCCAAATTAAGGCCACTTTGTTGAGGATAATTACCAAATAGGAAAGAATGGCATTACCTATACTAGTAAAAGCTAATTTCTGATCCTTAAGTAGTTCCTAAAAAGGAAGTCATGTAGTTATGATCGTTTTCTTACAGTATTTTCTTCATTTACTGGGTGACTTAAAGGTACAAACTGCATTACAAACTGTCTTTGAGGTGCCAAACCCACCAAAGCATTTGGGGAGAGGAGAAATGGAAAACTCTGGTTAATCTCAGGTTAATTTCTGGGTGGAGGCCTGAGGATGGTGGGGGGTGTCTGTGGGGCTCCAGGTTACCTGGGGGCAGGTCAGTGTCTTTACTGATTTGCCAACAGTTTCCTGTGGAGTCAGTAGGCCCCAAGGTTGACTGGCCTTTCTGTTTTACCCGGGCCCCCACCCAGCCCATTGCATTGTTATTTAAAAAATCACTACCACTTTATGCTTTTTAAACAATTCACAAGGGCAGTGAAATGGTTGCATTGAAAATCACTGGCTAATCATTTGGGGTGAGAAAAAATATTACAGGAAATAACTCCGTTTTTATGAGTGTGCTAAGTATCTCCTATGAAGAGGTTTGAGAAAATCCTTGACCATTAAGTCAGTTTTCACTGAAACTGGACTGAGGGGGAAAAAACCCTTGCGGTGGTCTTTCATGTTTAATTCCCGCTCATGAGCTGTGGGAGAGAATGATGGCCACCCATTCCTTTCTTCCCTTCCACCTTTCACCTGGACTCGGTTTCATGGACACAATTTTTTAAAATTTTTCTCTCTCTCTATATATATATATTTTAAATTTTATTTATTTTTAGAGAGGAGCAGGGAAGGAGAAAAGGAAAACATCAATGTGTGGATGCCTCTCAAGCGCCCCCTACTGGGGACCTTGCCCACAACCCAGGCATGTGCCCTGACTGGGAATCCAACCAGCGACCCTTTGGTTCACAAGTCAGCCCTCAATCCACTGAGCCACACCAGCCAGGGCTTGTGGACAAAATCTCATTATCAAAAACCAGTTGCTGAAAAAGGAAGATCAACTTTGTTGACTATACCTGGGATCTTATTTTTTAAGTAAGTCAATTTCCAAGTTCTTTTACTTACTTTCCAGGGGGGAAAAAATGCTCCTTTCATTCCGAGTCCGACCCCTCAGATTTTGCCGAGATTGCAGACGCGGGTAAGTGCCCTGTCTGCGCCCCGCGCCCGTGCCGTGGCCCAGTCACAGCGATCAGGGTGGTCACCGCGTGCACCGTCTTTTCGCATCTTGGTCTCCGAAGGTCTGACTCCTGGGCTGTGGCTGCGGGAGCTGGAGGGGGGGCCGCGTGTGCGTGGGGGCCCTGCCCATGGTGTGCCGGCCTGGATGTCATCACTTAACCTTTTTTATTTGGAGGAGAATGGAAAGGAAGGGAAATGAGAGGAAGACGGAGGTGCTATTTTTAACGGCTTTTAATAGGATGGCGGATAGTAAAACATGCCGGCAGCCTCTGATTTGAGAAGTCGTTTTTGATTTCTTAAAAGAAATGTTCTCCTTTAGAGGTGACAGATAAGGTGAGGGACAGGGGTAGGGCCTTAATCCTTAAGACAGGGTCTTTAGTGATTCCAGTTGAAGGAAGTAGTGGTAATTTGCTAACCCTAAATACTCTGTATCACCCAGTGCCCGCTACTTATGTGTCGAATTGAGTGAATGAGACTTAGACTCTTCTCACTTGCTTCTAGCTGAGACGAGATAAAATCTGTTTGGATTAGGTGTTTTGTTCTGGGGAATGCAGAATGTATCTTTTACCCTTCACTTGAAGGCTATCAAGATATACAGTTTGTTTAGCCTGGGTGGCAAGGTGAGTATAAAAATCTCAGTTTTCCAGTTGATGAGGAAGTCGGCCCAGGAGGCCACACGCCTGCTTCCCATGTCCAAGATGGGCTTCAAGGCCGTGTCTGCACCTGGCCAGCCTGTGGGCGAAGACTGTGGCGCTGTTCCCGCAGGTGGTAGCAGCACCAGTGCTCTTCTCTCCTGGGACATAGAGCTAGCGAGCCCACGCGCAGAGCGTTTCGAGTCAGGTGGGAGAACATAATCAAGTTACACCGAAGGAGAAAAACACATCTATCCGTTTTTCCTGGGAGGCTGGATGAGATCAAGGTCTAGATTCCTTTTTAAGTTTTTTTTTTGTTGTTGTTGTTCCCTGGCCTGGATCCCACCCGTCCCCTTCCTCTGCCTATAATGATGAAACGATACGAAGAAGAGGATGTAAGTGCACCGCGATCACGTTGCCGATAGTGTCCTCATCTCCTGTGGAGCGACTGTTCCTGCCCAGTGGCAACTGTCGGGCCACCGTTTAAACTAGTCTTGGCCGATGGAAAGATTTGGGGTGGTAATCAGTAAGCAGGAAGTCACAGGACTCTTGAGGATTGTTGGAGACCTATGAAAAGAATGCCACATTCTGATCTTTCTCATTGCTCCGTTCAGCAAATATTTGTGGAACCCCGCTTTGTGCAGGGCGCTGGCAGTCAGGAGGGCTGCACCCCCAGCGGGGTGCCCTTGGCCACGGGAGAGCGGGGCACGCTGGCCCGGGGCCTGGGTCGGGGACAGGTCAGGGGGGAGGAAGTCCGGCGGCTTCCTGCTGGCGTTGTCTCTTATTTCACGTGTTCCTTTGTCTTACCGTGAACTAAAATGTGAAGTTGGACTTGAACATGTGGCAGCTAACTGCGTGATGAATCGTGGTTGCTGGTTGTCCGTGACTGGTCACTGCCTTTGTACGTCGTGCTTGGGAGTTAATAAGGCTGGGGTTCTAGATTTCTCCCTGGTGCAGAGGGGCGTAGCTGGCCTACTTTCCTGGTCAGAGGCGGCACCTGCCCTTATAAAGCCCTGTGTGTCCGTGGGGAAGTTCAAGCGACAGAAGCTAGTTCAAAGCCGCCCCCGTTTGCAGGATGAAAACCAGCTCACCAGCCCAGCAGCGGAGGACAGGAACTCGTGACGGTGCCACAGAGGAGCAGAGCGCCTGGGCGCCCTGGTCAGCTGGAACCCGGCCCGTTCGGGAGGAGGCGTGAAGGCACTCGTGCGGTTGTATCTGCCGCTCAGGGACCTTACAAGTGCATCTGTGCTTCACTCCCAATGACTGTGGGCGGGACTAGTTGTATGTTCTGGCTGTGGTCAAACTGATCGTAAAATAACAGCGTAGGCCAAACTTTTTAGTTTTAATGGCAACTGGGTGAGCCAGAGTCACATAAAGACTCTTCTATTAATAGATAACGAGATAGAAACAACACGAGGACAGGAAACAGGTCTGCCACCCGTGGAGGTCGCGCAGCAGGCCGGCTTGGGGGCAGCCACCGCGCTGGGCAGGAGCATGGAGTCCGGGGTGGCCTGGCCCTCCGGCCTGGGCTCCGCAGTCCTGAGTGTGGCCCGAGGGGAGGGCCAGGGCACAGGATTGCGGTCCTCTGGGAGCCGCATCCTGGGTGGTGCCTGAGCTGTGCTCGAGCGCTGGCGTGCTGCGTGGGGGCTGCCGAGCCCGTGGGTTAGGGGCGTAGCATGCGTTGACCTTTAACCGAGGCTCCGAGAGGTGGAGCATGTCCCCGAGTCCCTGCGGCGGGCAAGCGGTGGAGCTGGGACTGGGGCCACCGGGCCCTGCCTCTTCGCTTCCTCCCGGCTGGTCGGTAAAGCCGGCGGAAG